GGAGAGCGGGGCGGCGGGCATAACGACGTCCTTTTCTTTCCCTGGCGGGGGCTTCGATCTGACGGCTGCCGTGAAGGCGAGTAGTGTTCCCGCGAGTGGCTTAACGACGGTCTCCGTGGTCAAGATGCCCATTGCTGGTATTTCTGGTAATTTTCCTATTACCATTTGTTTTGATTTCACCAGAAATGTAATTTAATTTAGTTTTATTTTATTTAAGCAATTTACTATACCAAAAATTGAAAAAACGCAGAGAAAGGTAGAGGTGCATCAGTGGAAGCGCAGAGCGAGCGAGATGGGAATTCGAAGCCTCTCAAAGAGAAAACCACAAAAGCCGAAAGGCGGGCTCTTCAAGAAGCTCAAAGAGCAGCTAAGGCCGCACATTTCGTGAATCACAAACAGTTTTTAATAGTAATGTAATTGAATTCAATGAATTTTATTTTCTTATAGTGATTATGAATGTCTACCTTGCATTGTGTTATTAGCCGACGGAAGTAAAACACCTTCTGTTGCTGCTACTGTTACTGCTTCTACTTCGGCAGCAGCGAATGTGAAACCGTCCAAGGCCACGAAACTCGTGTCACAAACATCTGTGGCGGCTTCCGAGAAGAAGGGTGGTGGTGAACGCCTGCCGGAGAAAGAAAGAAAGAAGGAAGTTCCTCATCCACGAATGCAATATGATGATACCAGTCGTGTAGAGAAGGCGAAAAGGCGTTCAGTGGTCAAGCAAACTGAGGCCAGGAATAGGGTTGAGCTGTTCAGGCATTTGCCTCAATACGAGCATGGAACCCAGCTTCCTGATCTCGAGTCTAAGTTTTTCCAACTTGACCCCGTGCACCCTGCTGTTTATAAGGTACATTATATCAGCTTGTTATGGTGTGATTATGACAGAGATCAAAGTGTGAAATTATGGTTCTATCTAATTTTTACTTTCTGTATTAATGTCAGGTTGGGTTACAGTATTTATCAGGAGATATATCTGGTGGGAATGCTCGTTGTATAGCCATGCTTCTAGCATTTCAAGAGGCCATTAAAGACTATTCAACACCACCTGAGAAAAACCTCAGTAGGGATTTGACAGCAAAAATAAGTAGTTATGTTTCATTTTTTATCGAGTGCAGGCCGCTTTCAGTCACCATGGGGAATGCAATTCGGTTTCTGAAGAGCCGAATTGCCAAGTTACCTTTGTCTATGTCTGAGTCAGAAGCAAAAGCATCTCTCCAGTCAGATATTGAACGGTTCATAACGGAGAAGATCATACTTGCAGATAAGGTGATTGTAAAGCATGCAGTTAGCAAAATCAGGGATGGTGATGTTCTTCTAACGTATGGGTCATCCTCTGCAGTTGAAATGTTACTGTTACATGCCCATGAGCTTGGCAAACAGTTTCGTGTTGTGGTGGTAGATTCTCGTCCAAAGCTTGAAGGCCAGCGTTTACTTCGTAGGTTGGTGGGAAAGGGCCTCAGCTGTACTTACACTCATATAAATGCTGCTTCCTATATCATGCACGAAGTTACTCGAGTTTTTCTTGGTGCTTCTTCAGTGCTGTCTAATGGAACAGTTTACTCAAGGGTTGGGACTGCCTGTGTTGCTATGGTAGCTCATGCATTCCGTGTACCCGTGTTAGTATGTTGTGAGGCATATAAATTTCATGAAAGGGTACAGCTTGATTCTATATGCTCCAACGAGCTTGGTATGCACTCCTAGCATCAAAAAAATTTATGGTCATTCTGACAGTTTTTGATAAGTCTCCTGCTCTTCTTGCTTGAATTCTCGGGTAATTGTTCCACATCTTGCAGGTGATCCAGATGCCATTTCAAAGATTCCTGGCAGGGAGGAAATCTATTTGGATGGTCAAACTAATTGTGAAAATCTTCAACCCCTAAATCTGATGTAAAGCGTTTATCATTTTAGTGATGTGCTTGTTATTGGCAGTTATGACTTATTTTGACCTGTTATTGATTTCCCCTTACTAACTGTGCAGTCCTGTTTTGACTTCTTAATGGCAGTTATGACGCACTTCCTTCAGATTATGTTTCAATGATAATCACGGATTATGGCATGGTAAATCAATTTTTTCTTCAATTATTGTTGTAAGACCTAAAGAGCAGACAGTGTTTCACAATTCTTTATGTTCCAAATTTTGAACTTGCGTTCTAGTTCTTTATCATATGCCTGATGGCTCATGAGATTTCTTTTGTGGATTATCAGTTTCACCACTTTATCTGGGAAAAAGACTTAATTATTTTGTGGTTATTTTAGGTTCCACCCACAAGTGTGCCTGTCATTGTGCGCGAATACCGAAGAGAACACTTATGGATGTGATCATGAAAATGCCTCCTCAGAAGTGGATCGTGATTCGTGAGGCTTCTCCAAAATTTTGTGTGCATGCTGAAATCAATGATTCAGTGTCAGCAGCATTTAACAGACGATAAGAGTCTAAGACTAGAGCCAGAAGTTTCTTTTTAGCTTTTGATCTCTCACTGGATTGAGACAATTTCTTTTTTCTTCTTTGGCCATAGATTGAGATACAAGTTAGACGCTTAAGTTCTTGTGACAGAAGTTTTGTATGCTGTACTTGCGTGTATATGCACCATGCTTTGCTTTCGCTGGGATTATTATGGGATGCATACTCATGGGTTCCATCTTTTATTTATCTGTCTTATTTTTTATTTTTTATTTATTAATGGTTTGGGATCTGTCTTCCTTTCGCTAAGCCACCAGATCATGATTTAAAAACAAAAGCCCAACTCCCAAATCTGCGAGGGTAGAATTTGTTTAATGCGGGCAATGAAGTGCCACCGTGCGGAGACATGTCAATCGATCATTATTCTTGTACAATTTTACAGGGCAAAACAGAAAAATATAAAGGCTTTTGCAAGAAGCTTTTTCTAAGAAGAAAAAGGAACGCCCAGGTTGATTTTTTCTTTTTGGTCAATAAGTTGATGTTCATAAGCCAGAATATTCTATGGACCAAAGAACAAAGAGGCCACTTAGCTTAGTGGAAATGTTTGTTTGAACAGGGCACGTTCTAGGTGCAGATGAACACAATGGAACCCGCCAAGACATGAATAATGAAGACACATTGCGAAAAGAAAGATGATGTGAATTAAAATGAAGAACAAACAATGAGAAAGGAACGGAGCTTTCTTCAACTCTAATTGAACAAAGGGAATTGTTACTTTAATACATTAATCTTTTGACAATAACAAAATCCTGCAATCCATATATAGAGTAAAATTAGGTCTGCTTGTGAACTATAAGACAGTACAATTGTGCTTACTCTATCGATCCTCTGAGAACGTCGCTTCTATTATTATTGGTGGGAGTAATAACAGCAAGAATCACAAAACCTCCCAGCACAACGACCAATATTCCGAGAGAATTCACCAGCAAAGCCTCAGTTGAATAGCGTGAGATTATGTGGTTGGTTTGAAGGAATGTGGCTTTTTCTAAAATACCAGTAGTTACAGTAACAACAGCAAGGGCGTAAGTATAAATACCAACAAACACATGCCATGGCAGTAAGGTAGCTCTGCTATTTTTTGAGCCGCCTGGGTACCAATATGTTACAAAACCAGCAGCCCACTGTGCAAAAGAAAATGGGGGTGAAAACCAGATAAAAGTAATTGTAGATAGAAGCTATCTTCTAAGGCTAAAAAAGAAGAAGAAATAGTAACTATGACGGTACCTGGAGGGTGAAGAGGAATAGGCAAGCTAGACCCAACCATGAATGCAGGCTGTAGAAATTGTCAATGCCCTTATCATTGTGGAACTTCAAAGCAGCCCATACGCCAATAATACTTAAACAAAAGGCAAGGAATTGTAGCGTAAGATGAACAAGTTTTTTGAAGCTTTTTGTTCCTGAAACTGTCTTGTATGCTAGCATGGCTGCATCATTGTAGAGATGGTTTTAATTCATAATCATTTTCGGTAAACATATAGGTAGTCCATACAAGCAAAGGAAATAAAGCTATATGCTATCAAGAACAAGATGCACTAAAAATCTACATAATGCTCTCTCATAACTCTTAGAAAAAGCAGGAAAAGAAAAATATCTAAATACATCTAAAACCCACCAAGAATAGTTCTAACATTCAACTATAGTTATGGAAACTCTTGTAAGTTCAAAGGCAATTGACTAAGAAAGTCTGTGAATCAAATTCTTCAAGTGTAAAAGGTCACTTAGAAACTATATGTGACCTTCACTAACAGTTCGAAACTCATTCTTATAATCCTTAGCATGCTCTACTAAACTCATTGTACTGGCGTATATAATCATCTAAGGCAGTCACGTCAATTTTAAGTCAAGATTACTGGGAGAGAGAGGAATTATGAAGAAATCAGTAACTAGATACTGGGCCAAGCGCCATAAGAACAGAAAATTTACCTTCTCCATTTAAGAGTATCAGTCCAATCACCATCAACACAGGATGGACCTACAAGTGACAAAACAACCATAAGTTCATGGAACACTAAAAAGTTAAACAATTTAGATAGAGAGTAATGCTCTATCCATTTGTCATATGGGAATGGACCAAATGCTTAATTTACAAAGAGGAATTTCTCCTAGATCAAAGAAGCATCAATTTCCAGCTCAAGATGATAATGAACTACATAAATTCTAACGTAACAAGTTAAAGATACAAAGTTGTAAAGAACAGAAACATTTTTGCATATATTGACAGTAATATGAGCATTATGACAAAGTAAGTGATATAACCAGTACCCAGAAGAAGTGAGCTAAATAACCCATCAACCATTTCCGCCCAAAAAATAAGCTTCAAAATGAATTCCCAATAGATATAATGACAATATATGAAAAATCAAAATTAAAACTTTAAGGAAAAGAAATTGAAAGAAGAAGAGGATTGGGAAGAAACGGACATTGAAAATGAGATCTTTGTTGTCTGAGATGAGAGCCAATCCTCCGCGGAAACGTATGGTCCAGATGAGCACTAGAGCAGCCACTATCACTCCTATCACTCTCACTGCCCTGAAGATCTGGAAGCGGACCACTGGAATCGCCCCCATTACTTCTTCTTCCTTCAGCTCTGAAATCTTTCAGAGATAGAAAATTTAGGGTTCTGGGAAGAAAACAAAAAGGGTTTCTCTAGATTTTTGGGATTTGGATCTGTTTTACTCTGCGGGCTGCTTCTTTAGGGACGACGGTGAGGGCGGACGAAAGAATTTCAGGCTTTCAACTTTTTCAACTGATTGACCAACCCAACAAAAAAAAAACAAATAAACTGTAAAACTAAGAGGTGACGCGTGGCACTATTAGTCCACGTCGGACCATACTGCTTTCCTCGTTTATTTAGACTGCTCTCTTGGTTTCCCTGTGTGTCCATTTTGTTGAGTTTCTTTATGATGATTTTATTGGCACTTCATTATTTGTTTTTGGGAAATGACCTCCAATGCCACCCATTTACTAATTTTAACTAAAAATACCATACCTTCCTAATTTTTGTACAACTACACCCTATAAATATAAAATTATTGTCCCCTTATTGTACCCATATCAGTTTTTTAGAAATTGCTCTCTCTCTCTCTCTCTCTCTCTCTAACTCGCTCTATCTCTTCGACCGTCTCTCTCCCTCGTGTACCTCTCTCTCTTCGACGACAATCATCTTTCTCCCTCAACAGTGGCTGTCTGCGTTCTCTCTTCCTCTCTCAGCGTTTTATCTCTCCACCGTCGCTCCATGACCACCACCACTCTGTTTCTCCCACTCTCGCGAAATCCATCCCTGTGTCAATTTCTCAACAAAAAAACTCAATCTTTATCCCCTATCTAGGGTTATCTGGTCTTACAAGTCCAACCCAGAAAAATAAAAGCTTAGCCAAAGCCTTGAATACATGTCCTTTATGTTTTAATCCTTTATATTTTCTTTCCTGAGAAGAAATAATGGACACAATGGACGAAATCAGAGTCGATTTGCTGCCTTCTGATAGCATTTACTTCATTGTGGGAATCATTAACAAGAAGCTCGATGTGAATCAGTTCCAAAATGTCCATTCTTGCCGCAGTGGGCTATCGGATTCTTGTCTAGGATTGTTGAAACGGGGCATCCAGGTATTTATTTATAACCTTTCTATTATGATTACATTTGGACCTTTGCGTTTCTATTTTTATTGCAATCATTTTGTGAGCTTTTCAATATGTGTGTTTCTTTTGGGATTCTTTCAATTGT